TGTTTTTTGCCTCCTTATTCCCCCATTTAAGATGCACCATTGTATCTCTGTTTTACTTTTTTTTTTTTATCATGGGTGGGTAGAAAGAATGGTTCTCTGCCAATGCCCTATGGTGTTTGATCTCCTTTATGCTAAAACATCCAAATAACTGTCTTAGAGCTAGGTTCTTGGCAGAATTTTGTATTTCCTAACGAACTTTATTTAATTAGGTTATAAAATCTGTGGAGTTGATCTTATTTCCCCTGGCTGGTTGCTGTGGTAATGTGTGTGGTAACTGCATTTGAATTCTGGTACCGCCATGGACAGGCCGTGTGAGAAAAGCCAACAACTTCTTAAACCTCCACTCCTGCATCCTAATGGAGGGTCATCATCTTGCTACCTTCAGCATCATTGTTGTGAAGATTAATGGTATAATGACAACTTTCATGGGGAAGGAATTTTTTTTCTTTTTTAATTTTTTCAACTATTAGGAGCAATTCAGCCTTTGATGCCTAATAAAGTATAAACAGTCCAGTGCTTTTCTTTACCCTGGCCAAAGACATGTCTCAGGTCCTAAATGAAAATGCCAGGTTGTATGTTCCATTTGTTCTTAATCATAATTCCAAAGAAGAATTTGTACTAATACTTTAGAAATCATGGATTGACTTCCATGTTACCTTCTGCCAGAGGATTTCAGGTTAAAGCAAGAAGCAAATAAACAGAATGAAAACCATTTGACCAGACTCTGATTTTAAAAGATACATAGCATTATTTCCCCCATACCAAAAAAATGTCAAGTCATGCAGAAGGAAGAACAGAAATGCTTGCTTCTAGAAGCACAAATTTTACTGGTTCTCTTAACTTCTTTCTGCTCCAAAATGATTCCAAACTCAGCTCTTCACATCTTAGCCAATCAGAAAGCCCTCTCTAAGCACGTGAAACATAAGGTTTTAATTTACAAAGGATCATCTATATTTCTTTCCCAGAGCCTCACAGAAGGACTACATTTTAAATCCAATACAAACCCCTGTATGTTTTGCAAACATTTTCCCAGATAATATACACTATTTCCAATTGCAATACAACAGCAGCACTAATTAAAGCAGAGTCATGAGATAATTCTTTACCTCCAGTCTTTTTGAAACACTGAGGTTTAAGTAACAGATTTAGCAAAATCTTCTCTTATAGTTTAATCTTTGAAATACAAAAATATTTCGGTTATTTTTACCCTACCCTGTTGATGATAATTTAGTGATGGTGGAGATTTTTTTTTTCCTTTCATGCTTCTATTTTTTTTAAATGTGTTTTGTGAGCTCTGTATACAAGTAATCCATGATTCATATTAAGATCTACTGGGCCGGCTGAGTGGCGCATTGGTTAAGAGCTGGCTTGGGATGCCAGAGGACCCCAGTTCGGATCCCACATATGAGGGCCAGTGACACTGCCCTCTACAGCTAAGATGCTGAACAACAGCTCGACCTGGAGCTGGGCTGCTGTGAGTCGCTGGCGATGGCAGGTGGGTTGCCATGGGCTACTGTGTATAGCCAGCAGCCAGCGTGAGCAGCCAGCAGCCAGCGTGAGCGGCCAGCAGCCGCCGTGAGCGGCCGCCCAGAAGCCAGCGACTGATCTGCCTCACCCGGGAAGAGCACAATGATGGTGCCAACTTGGGCCAGTGAAGCAATGTCCTCCACAACTAGAGTGAAGGACAAAAGGATAGCAACTTTTCTGTTCCCCTTCCCTCAATTCCCCAATAAAAATCTTAAAAAAATAAAAATCTACTGAATATTCCCATCTATATTAAATCTTTGAATCTTACCATATTTAAAATGTAAATTCTAACAAATTGTGGCTCACTCTCAAAAGTAAGTTAGTTGAATTAGAATCAGCTCTAAGTGCCCTATCAGATAAAAGTCAAGATAATCAAACTTAGAGTCTCTTTTGATAAATTGTTTTAGGGAAAGCAATGTATTTTTTTAAAAAAGATTGACCTTTCAATAAGAGTCTGTAAACTGAGGCTCTGTTTGTAAATGAAACCAAGAACTTTCTCATCAATGTCAAGAACAGATTGGTGTAAGAATGAATAAAAAAATGAAGAAAAGACATTTAATTTTAGAATTGTTACAAAAGAATACAGATGCATTGGAGAATAAGAATCAGCAAATGCAGAAATTCCTGGGTTGGAAATTCAAAGGAAGAAATGAGGTAGAGGTCTACACTGAGAGCTTAGACAGTTATGCCTAAAGCGTCTCTGTAAAGACAATATAATTGACTCCTAGGTGATGCCTCCCAGGAAAGAGGGAATAGTATAGCCTGAGCTTTCTCTATCACTATCAGCTCCCTAATCAAACAATGTCCCTTCACCAGGAATTCAAAAATAAGAGTCAGGTCAAGTTCTCACTTTCTACTCCGGGCATACAAAAGTGATACAGCGGTGAGAGGCGAACCTTACAAAATTTAGTTTCAAAATACGTTAGGTCTAATCTAGCATTTCTCAAACTGCATTCCATAGTGCATGAGTGTCAAGCGAAATATTAGGTTGTCGGAAAAGTCATGATGTACTTTTTCTATGGTTTTCGTTGCAAAAATGCGTCATGATTTTTCTCACAACCCAATATTGATATAGTGTGTGTGTGTGTGTGTGTGTGTGCATGCATGCTTGCATGTGTGTGTGTGTTCCAAGTGTGTAGGTTTGTGTGTGTATTTCAAATGTAGAAAATACTAGGTAAGACAAAGCTTAAAAAGGGTTATTTACCGCAGAACTTCTCAGAGACTTTCTTGGACTAACATGAATACCTAATAAGGACTTAGACTATGGCCTTTTTCCAAACTTATTTGAACAATTTTATTTCACAGAACACCCTTAGGGAAGTTATTATATTTCACAGAACACAATTTGGGAAACGCTGATCTAACTCGTCAGTGAGTCCCGACATTGATACCCCTACCATCTATATCCCAGTATAGAAAACTGTGTTAAATATTGAGGACTCACCATGGTCTGAACCCAGAAATCACATTTCCCCCTATAATTTTTAGGAGTGGACATGTTCACTCAATAGAAGTCCATGGATTTTGGTCAGATCCAAGGCCTACTCTGGCACTTACTGGCTATGGGACCTGGGACAAATTACTTCACTACTTGGAGCCTTAAATTCTTCATCTATTAAAAGAATATAATAATTAGTACCTACCTCAAAGATTGGTAAAGTTTAAGTGACACATGTATGCACACATGGTGTACGTTAAGAAAAACAATGTTAAATACATATGGTAGGTGCTTAAAAGTCCAGTCTTAAACAGTGTTATAAACACTGTTACTCAACAAAAACCATTCAAGCCTGCCACCTACAAGCCAGCAACAAAACAACTCACCCAGAAGCTCAAGGTCCTCCAGGATGTACTTGGAACATTCACCTAACTGCTTGGGCGACCCTGTGCACTCAACTGTATGCGATTGAAGCTGGGTCTCCAGCCCTGGTAATTGTCCACATTCAACCTGACATAAGCAGTCTAGAGAAACTTCAGAAGATTTGAGAAAGGCTTGATAAAACAAGATCTTTGATATAAGAAAATTTGACTGATGCCTGAAGGACTAATATCAAGAAGAAATGGGGTTATGTTTATAGTTTTTACCTAATTGAAATTTTTTTATGAAGAAGTTCATAATAGTTCATACTTATTTAGTAATTTTTATCTGTGGATCTCAAACCTTTCCACATCCTGAAAAGAATAACATATTTTAGATTAAAGTAAATATATACTGCTTATATTTCTCTTCTAATATTTTTTTAGCCACTTCCTTCACACCTCCCCAAAAGACCTTCCATAATACTCATTGTTATTGGTTACAACTTTCAACAGTTCCTAATTTTAACAGCTTCCTCTGTATCACATAGGGTTGATAAATGAAATACTGTATTGGTATAAAAAATAAATTTTAAAAAAATCTAAGCTTTTTTTAACTTTGGAAGACAACTTTCAGGAAATACTTTCTTTTTTTGATTTCATGAGGTATTATTTTACACAAGCCATTGAGAACTTCTTTAGAAAACTAATTTTAAAAAAAGAATAAGCTACTCAAAATAAATAAATAAATAAAATAAATAAGTAAAAAGGGTTAAAATAAGCATCTAATGAAATTCAAGCCAAGCAATGCCTTGTAGCACATCCCTCAACGTTTCTGGGCCTAGTATTTTTAATTGTAAACTACAGAAAATTAACTAGTTCCTATATGATGCCTTTTGTTCCTTCCAGTTCCATGATCTGGTAAGAATGACTCTTTTTTTTCTTTTTATTCCAACCACAGCACTTCTGAGCCTGCTGCTCCCTAGTAAACTTCACTGTCCAGTGGAAGATAAAATAAGCTCAAGAATTTTAATAGAACAACTTTGGAAGCAGGAGAGTGTGTCCTAGTCTGAGGAACAGAACTGAGTATTCTGCCATATTCCCTGTTTCCTATCCCCTTGGGAGAGAAGGGTTTGGAATGATAATGCTAGTGGATGCTTTTAATTCATGTGATGCTTCTTGGTAAATAATACATTAGAATAAATTCACCCCCCCCCACCCCCCACCCCTGTCTAGTCACCCAGAATGACCTTGAGAGAATGGAACACAGGACAGGTAAGTCTTTATAAGAGAGAAGTGGCAGAAGGAAAATGGCTTGGTAAAGTTTCTAAGCGTGGGATTACTATCAGCCCAAGAATGAGCATCAGGGAGAAAAGAGAAAAGTATCCCAGAGACTGTGGGTAGGACGGTGGAAGGTAAAATGAACAGTTATGAACTGTGCATGCTCAGAAGACATCAGAGAGCAACCCAACCTCCTTTTTGATATCAAAATGTCTCATGAACCACTGCCAACACACTCACATGTACACACACACACTCACATGATACCAATCGTACGTTTAGTAACTGCTGCTTTTTATTTTAATAAATACTGGGAATCCAGAAACAAATAAGTATTTTATGAATTTACTGCACTCATGAATATTTGAAAAACAATAATATATTGTATCTGAAACAGTGTCATTATGAATTAACCGATAAAGATATGACTACACATTTTTTAGAGACACCAACATGCATAGTGATGAAATTCACAGTGCCCTGATAGATGTAGTACAAGTAACACCTATCTTAAGTAGTGACCTTTATGTCTGGACTAATTAATGTTCATGCTTTTCAGTGACAGTGTGTCCCAGGTTCCTTCTTTCACAGTCATCTTGAAGCTATTCCCCGCTTATGTGGGGAAAAGAAGTCTTTAAAAGCTCCCTATTGTCTATATAATTCAGCCCAAACTTTTTAGCACGGACTAAACCTTTTTCATGCCTTCCCCAAAATATCTCAGTCACACTCACACCCTGCCCCCCTTTAGTATTTAAGCTCTTCGGAACTCCTGTCTTTTGCAACTTCCATTCACCTATCAGAACCCTCCCCACCCTTTCCACGGCTGGCTGCGTCCCTTCTGTTCCTTCGGCTTGGAGATGGGCCTTAGGATAACTGGTCTATTGATACATTTCTGTACCCACTGTACTCTGTCCTCCTGTAAGGCTGGGCCATGTCTTGTTCATCTTGTACTCTTCTACCGAACCGTGCTTATAGTATGATAGGTGCTTGGTAGGAATGTATTAGAAAAACAAATGATAGAAAATAATTGTATAAAAATATCCCTAGAGAGTCTAATCACAGACCAACACATCTGGATTAATTAATGATACAATGGCACTGTATTGATAAAACTGAGTCATGCAGTTAAACCATCCTTTGACAAATCTTACACGGAAAACAAGTAGAATATAGTCTGCTGAAGTGGATTGTGGTATTTGGAATTAGGAAGGGACTGTGCAGGCATTTTGCTTTTTGCTTTCAGACTTTGTTGTTTTCTTTGTTTTCCAAACTGGCATCCTAGTTTGGAAAACATAGGCGTCTCTGCCTAGGGGTGGAAGACCACGCTGCACCCCAGCCTGTGGCACCTAAGTGGCCGGGGTCTGACACTCCCAGAAGTTCACCAGAGCCGCGGGCGTCCCGAGCCTTGGAGGCTCCCAGTTAGCTCCCCAGGGCCCAGGCTGCCTGCCAGCGCAGCTGGGCCCGAGCCCCCCCGGGGGTCTCTGGACAGCGAGGACGCTCCCGGGGAGGTGGAGGGGAGGTCGTCGGGTTCCCAAGTTTTTCTCTCTAAGTATTTAATGGGTAGTTTCCCATTGCTTCTGTTTCTGACTTGATTAAAGAGGAGGAAAAAAAAAAGGAGTTTGACTACAAGAAGAATAGTAGCAGACGGCGCATCTGGCTTTACTTTTTAAATTCCATCCAAGTTTGTGTTTTGTTGTTCTTGTTTTTCTTCATTTGACAGCGATCCCACGAACTTCTCCTTGGGGGAAATGGCGCGACCAAAGCCCGCCAAAGCCCAGCCTGAGAGCTCTAGGATTTATGAGAGTAATATTTAAAATAAAACCTTAACATAAACTCAAAGGAAGCCGTGCGCTCCTTAAGTCAAAGGCAGCTGTTCTGATCGCAGCGCTCGGTTTGCTGTTTGTAACCAGCGTTAAAGAGCAGGATTTTTAAACACGAAAATGGCTAAAAGAGAAGAAAAGCTAAGTCCCGCGGTCCGCCGATTCCTATTCATTATCTCCAGCAGCATATGGGACCATTCTCCTACTTGTCCTCGTCTTTTCTTCCGCAAAAGCAAAAGCAACCAAGCCTGTCCCTCTTCATAGCAAGCCCACTCTTTGTGCCCGAGCGGTGCCTCTGCCACCTCTACTACTTCCTCTACCTCCCGCCTCCTCCTCCTCCCGCCCGCCGCCGACTTTTCGCTCAGGGAAGGAGGCGGCGGGCGCCCTTTGCGCCGGGAAGCCAGAGCGGCGATTGGGTGACGGTCCCTGAGCCTCCAGTTTCGCGTCGGTTTCAAGGCTCCTCCCTCCTGGTGAAAGACAGACTGCGGGGCGCCTGGAAACCGGTCGGAGGGCGCGCGGGGGAGAGGAGAGCAAGCGAGTTGAGGGATTGACACAAATGGTCAGGCGGCGGCGGCGGAGAAGGAGGCGGAGGCGCAGGGGGGAGCCGAAGCCGCTGGGCTGCCGAGAGTTGCGCGCTCTACGGGGCCGCGGCCACTAGCGCGGCGCCGCCAGCCAGGAGCCAGCCAGCCGAGGGCCAGGAAGGCGGGACGCGACTCCGGCGCGCCCGAACTACCCGGGCTCTCCCCGCCGCCCGCGCTTCATGAATCGCAAGTTTCCGCGGCAGCGGCGGCTGCGGGACACGGAGCGGGAGCCGGGGGAGCGGGCCGAGCGCCGCTCGGGCTCGACGGAGGGCACGGGCACGGAGGAGAGCTCCCCGGCCGTAAAGGGAGCCGCCGCGGGCCGCGCCACTGCCAGCACCAGCCGAGCGTCGCCAAGAAAGGAGCCGAGAAAGTATGGCTGAGGAGGAGGCGCCTAAGAAGTCCCAGGCCGCCGGCGGCGGCGCGAGCTGGGAACTTTCTGCCCGGGCGCTCCCGGCAGGGCCGGTGGCGGAGGGGAGCTGGGACGCGGGCAGCCACCGCTGCCGCTGCCGCCCCCCAGCTGATTCCGGGCGCTTGGCGCGCCGGCTCTTGCTGCTGATTTGGCTGCTGGAGGCTCCGCTGCTGCTGGGGGTCCGGGCGCAGGCGGCGGGCCAGGGGCCTGGGCCGGGGCAGCAGCCCCCGCCGCCGCCGCCTCAGCAGCAGCAGAGCGGGCAGCAGTACAACGGCGAGCGGGGCATCTCCATCCCGGACCACGGCTACTGCCAGCCCATCTCCATCCCGCTGTGCACGGACATCGCGTACAATCAGACCATCATGCCCAACCTGCTGGGCCACACGAACCAGGAGGATGCGGGCCTCGAGGTGCACCAGTTCTACCCTCTGGTGAAAGTACAGTGCTCGGCCGAGCTCAAGTTCTTCCTGTGCTCCATGTACGCGCCCGTGTGCACCGTGCTGGAGCAGGCTCTGCCGCCCTGCCGCTCCCTCTGCGAGCGCGCGCGCCAGGGCTGCGAGGCGCTCATGAACAAGTTCGGCTTCCAGTGGCCGGACACGCTCAAGTGCGAGAAGTTCCCGGTGCACGGCGCCGGCGAGCTGTGCGTGGGCCAGAACACGTCGGACAAGGGCACCCCGACACCCTCGCTGCTGCCGGAGTTCTGGACCAGCAACCCCCAGCACAGCGGCGGGGGGCACCGTGGCGGCGGCTTCCCGGGGGGCGCCGGCGCGTCGGAGCGAGGCAAGTTCTCCTGCCCGCGCGCCCTCAAGGTGCCCTCCTACCTCAACTACCACTTTCTGGGGGAGAAGGACTGCGGCGCGCCCTGCGAGCCGACCAAGGTGTACGGGCTCATGTACTTCGGGCCCGAGGAGCTGCGCTTTTCGCGCACCTGGATCGGCATCTGGTCAGTGCTGTGCTGCGCCTCCACGCTCTTCACGGTGCTCACGTACCTGGTGGACATGCGGCGCTTCAGCTACCCGGAGCGGCCCATCATCTTCCTGTCGGGCTGCTACACGGCGGTGGCCGTAGCCTACATCGCCGGCTTCCTGCTGGAGGACCGGGTGGTGTGTAACGACAAGTTCTCCGAGGACGGGGCGCGCACGGTGGCCCAGGGCACCAAGAAGGAGGGCTGCACCATCCTCTTCATGATGCTGTACTTCTTCAGCATGGCCAGCTCCATCTGGTGGGTGATCCTGTCGCTTACCTGGTTCCTGGCGGCCGGTATGAAGTGGGGCCACGAGGCCATCGAGGCCAACTCGCAGTATTTTCACCTGGCCGCCTGGGCCGTGCCGGCCATCAAGACCATCACCATCCTGGCGCTGGGCCAGGTGGATGGCGACGTGCTGAGCGGGGTGTGCTTCGTGGGGCTCAACAACGTGGACGCGCTGCGCGGCTTCGTGCTGGCACCCCTCTTCGTGTACCTGTTCATCGGCACGTCCTTTCTGTTGGCCGGCTTCGTGTCGCTCTTCCGCATTCGCACCATCATGAAACACGACGGTACCAAGACCGAGAAGCTGGAGAAGCTCATGGTGCGCATCGGCGTCTTCAGCGTGCTTTACACGGTGCCAGCCACCATAGTCATCGCCTGCTACTTCTATGAGCAGGCCTTCCGAGACCAGTGGGAGCGCAGCTGGGTGGCCCAGAGCTGCAAGAGCTACGCCATCCCCTGCCCCCACCTCCAGGCAGGTGGAGGCCCCCCGCCTCACCCACCCATGAGCCCCGACTTCACAGTCTTCATGATCAAGTACCTTATGACACTGATCGTGGGCATCACGTCAGGCTTCTGGATCTGGTCCGGCAAGACCCTCAACTCCTGGAGGAAGTTCTACACTAGACTCACCAACAGCAAACAGGGGGAGACCACCGTCTGAGAGCCGGGTGCTCAGCCCATTCCCAGCCCGCTGCTGGGTCCCAGCCACCCCCAAAACCTGGCCCCATGGAATCATTGCCAAGCCCAGCTACTCAGGCTCCCTCACTAGACATTCACTTTCGCAGGCTTCTTTTAACAACACGGCTCCTGCAAAAGCTTCCGTCCCTGGGGGCAAACGGATTCGAGGGCCCAACTGCCAAAGAGGGGGTATGGACAGACCTCTCTCGCTCTCACACTCTGGTATCTGGACTGTACGCTTTTATGATTGTAAATAACCTGTGTAAGATTTTTGTAAGTATATTTGTATTTAAATGACGACCGATAACGCGTTTTCCTTTCCTTTCCTTTTTCTTTTTCTTTTGTTTTGTTTAAATTTGAATTATTTAGGGCGGTTTCACCATTTGAGGCCCCTTCCTGTCCTTTTCGGAGAACTGCACGGATAAAACCGGAGCGCACACGCCGGGTGCTCATGCGGGTCCTCGCGCGCCCCTCCCCTCTGCGGGTGGGGTGCGTCTGGGGCTACCGCCCGGTCACTTTCCTCCTCTTTCTGCTCCCTCCCTTCCCTCTCTTGCTTGAGGTTGGGGTTCTTAAGGCACAGAACTTCTTAGAAGCTTCCAAGCCCGCCCTTGTCTGGGACTAGATTTCGAAGGCCTGTCCCTTTGACTTCCGAAGCTGAGTTTTTCACGGTCGAGAACCTTTTCCCTTAGCTTTATGGAGGCCTACGGATGTGGGCGCCGGCAGCCCCAGCCGTCCTCCGCGCTGGCCTCCAACGCCCAGACACTCTCTCCTTCCACCTAAGTTGGTTAGAGGGTGAGTGGGATAACCAATGCCAAACTTTTTAAAGTCTAATTTTTGGTGGATGAGCTCATTTCATTCTCTAGTGTCTAAACCCTGGTATGTATGGGTTTGGCCAGCGTCATGGAAAGATGTGGTTACTGAGATTTGGGAAGAGGCATGAAGCTTTGTGTGGGTTGGGAGAGACTGAAGATGGAGGTTATAAAATGTTCTTTCTAATTGCATACTGATGCCTGGCAACCTGCCTCTAGGACTGAGACAGTCCGCGTTTAGATTTTACTGTTCTGTAAAATGGAAACGTTGAGGTCACCTGGAGAGCTTTGTTAAGGAGCTGATCTTTGCTTTCCTTAACAGGACAGCAGAATGTAAACTGAATATAAAAAGTTGAAGATTTCAGTGTAATGAATGGACTTCCTCAAAATGAAGTGATACTGTCTTATTTTTAATCAAGTGATAATTAGACATATATCAGGAACTTTACAATGTAAAAGTTGTACTTTCAACATGTTATTACGATTGCTATTTAGCAACACATGCTGAGGGAGGAACAATCCACATCACTAATAACAACCTGGTAAGATTCTGGGAGGTAGAGGAGGTGGAATAATTGATGGGATTAGCTCCTGAAATAAACAAAATATGGACATGCATGCTAAGGGGAAACCGTGTGCAGGTCTGCTGCGTTAAATCCTGTGTGCTCTTTTTTGGATTTACAGAAACGTGTCAAATGTAAATCTTTCAAAGCCATTTAAAAATATTCACTTTAGTTCTCTGTGAAAAAGATGAGAAAAGCAATCCTCCTGGTTGTATTGTTGTAAACTTTAAGAGTTTATCAAAATGCCAGTACTTAGGACCTAAATTTATCTATGTCTGTCATACCCTAAAATGACAATGGTCTTTGAATTTGGTATGCATTTATTCTGTTCACTATCACAAAATCATCTATATTTATAGAGGAATAGAAGTTTATATATATATAATACCATATTTTTAATTTCGCAAATAAAATCAAAGTTTTGTACAAAATTATATGGTTTTTGTGCCTGAAAATAGTAGAGCTGGAACTGTTTGAACTATGAACTATCTTTACAATTTATAGCGTCTCTTGGCCATTCCCACAGTATATAAATTCAGGAATTAAATGAAAAAAATCCATCTTTAAACCTTCAGATCAGTCCCTCCAAAGAATTAATCTACTTGCATTGTTGTGATTGACATTGTGAAGTCCTTAGTAGAGACCTGCTTTCATGAAAGTAACAATATAAAATAGAAGTTTACAAATTATTTCTTTACTCAAAGATTATTAAAAAGGAATCTAATTTTAATATTAAAGCTTTTTTTCTTTCAAGGGGTATATTTACATTACCCTTTATAATATGGAGGTTTATATTTAAATCATCCATCACCTTTGTCATGATTTTTATGTGGTACTGCCTTATATTATCTATATTTTTGGATATTCCAAAACCATAAGTAGGTATTCAATAAATGGTTAACTGACTGTATGTTTATAAGCATTTTAAACAGCAGTTGGGTGTATAAGGCTGTTTTGTTGTTTGCTTCTGAAGACTCCATTTTTATATTGTTCAAGGAACCTTCTCCAGAGGAATTACCTAGTTGGTCTACTCTTAGTCAGAATTTATATATGTGTATAAATATGTAGAGTATATATAGATATACACATATATATCTATATATACATATACACATAAGTATATACCCATTAATTTTTATAAAAGATGCAAAGTTTACTTACACATTTTATAATATGCAAATAGGTTATATGAAATGGAAAAATGCCAGATGGAAAGCCTCAGATACCTTTGAAAAACAAGTCTCTTATTTCTTTACAGACTAAAAATATATTAAAATTTTCCATGAAAATACTTTGTGTTAAAATGTCATGGGGCTAAAATGAAGACCATTGATACAATAGAGTTACTTTCATGGTTATAAATTGTGTTATAAATCACTATTATTTATTTTAGGGCAAATGAGAAAATTAAATTTAATTGAAAAATATAGCATTCGGTTTTAAGTACCAACATGAAAGTTTATGTTCTTTTTTTCTTTGTTACATTAACCTAATATAGTAGATATCTGAGAAGGTTTTATAGTATAGACACAAAAAAATAACAATTCTTAGACCAAATTAAAACATGTCCCCTTACTAGATAATTTAGTCAGATAATTTCTGGAAAAAAATTAAGATTATTAGTCTCTATCCAAGGAATAAATATAAAGCATTCTCACTGTGGGTGTCCTTAAAATGATGTAAGTATAAATTGATGCAGAAAGGTTTTTATAATAGCTTTAAAAGACATTTTTAAGTCAACACCAGGCTTTACTTTTGGAAAGCAACTTATTTTAAATTATGTAGCATATAGAAAGCCTGTGTATCATTTTGTTTCTTTCAACACTGATGGCAAAATAAGACTTGCCTGGAAAAATGTAAAGCTACTGGGAATATGGCCCCATTAACATGCTGTTTCCATGACAAACCCTATTTTCAGATGGTTTGGTTTGCCTATTTTATTTTTTTTAAACCAGCTATCAAAGGGAGTCAGTTTTCCCCCTCACCGTGTGCTTCATTCAGCTTTTATCGTAAAGATATACATAGTATAACAGCCTTCTGATGCTCTTTTTAAGGCAGTTTTTATTTAAACTTTATAGAGGCAGAAAGTCATATTTTTAATCTCAAAGCCAGCCAGTGTCAAACATATGCTAAACAGCTGGACCGGATTTTTCAGTTTGTCTGGGGTAGTCACTTGTCAGCCTGAGTTTACAGTCCGGGTCCTTTTGTCTCCAGCAAGCACTGAAGCCTTTCTCTATAGTTGCATCATTCCTAAAGTTTAGCATTTAACTAGGAAAGGAGACCACAGTGAAGAGTTGGTATCTAATTAAGAAAAAAATTGCCTAAACCACAAACAATTTTAGGACCTGGATGGCTTCTGATCACTTTCCCTGATATCATGTTTCAATCTTGGGACATTTGGTTTTTTAAAAGATGCCATATTTTCAGTGTGTGTGTTTGGGTTCAACGTCAGCTACTTGAGCTTTTATTGCTTTCTAATCCATCTGTTGGCTGTGGGCCATGTTTTATGTCATGTACATTCAGTTAATTGAAACCAGTGGTATGACACTGGATATCTCTGGTACATTTCTGATTGTAATATTCTATGTAACTAGGGCCTGAGAGATAAGAATCGAAATGTGGGCATTACCTATGTCTTGAGGTGGATACTAGTGATGTTGTTATCATATAGTTCACAGAATAGACTAATTTCAAAGTCTTGCAGGATTAACCTGTAGGAGCCAAAATAAGATGCGGACTACATATAAGAATTCTACAGTTAGATTACTCAGAAGACATTGCAGTACTACCTGAAATTCAAGGCTTTTATCTGAAGGCCCTTACATTTGAAATGGGGTCGTATAAAGGAAAGTGCCAAACAAAGTAAAGTTTATTTTAGTGACTCCTAAGATTTATATCTATATTTGGAACTGTTGGCAGGTGCCAATAGCCCTTACAATTTGTACACCAGTACTTGAGTGCCAATCATGACTCAGAATTCCCTTAAACTTTTTGGGCTTAAATATTTCTATTCACTTTAGTTGTAACTTTTGACAATGGATGTGTTAAACCATAACAATTATAGTGACAAGAGCTTATTTGGAACCTGGTGATTAAAAGACAGATAGACTCTAGACTAATTTTCTTAGGTTTTATCATGATCTCTGGTGATAAATGTTTGTACTCCAATTACAGAATCAAGTTCTGTTTAAATATCACATTTTCTTTGGGGATTTTTGCTTACAAGTTGGTTTGGGACCCTAATAACAGGTTAAATCAAAGGACTTCTCACAGAAATCTTTCTCATGTAATGGATAGGCTTAAACACAATCTATAAGTACTTCTATAATGAACAGATAATAAATATTCTAAGGTTTATCCGTTTTATAAGTCAAGCATATTCTTAAATTGCTTGAAAAATAAGATAACATTTCCCAATAGAGATTTCTCTAAATAAATCATTTTATTTTAAGATGGTGATATTCTAAAGAGATATATTTCGGTGTGATAAAGTTCAAATAGCACTGCATTTTTCAAAGGAATCATTAATACACCAATTGAACAGCATATTTTTATAACAATTCTAAAAGCAAAGTACTAGAAGAGCATTGATTTGCACATTTTACACATGCATGCTATTTAAAAAATAAAATTGTCTTGCTTGAAGACAAAAATTTTGAACTTTTAACATTTATAATACACATATTTCATATAAAGACCATCTCAAGAAATTTCATTCACAGTATTGACTTTCAAAACATGATCACAGGAGCACAGTGATTAATAGGAAAAGGAAACACTATTGCTGCTTTGAGGTAGTTCTCTGTGGCCTGGATATCTTTTTCCTTTTTAAAAACCAAGTATCCTCTAATTTGTGGATATCTCCATATTTCAGATCTCTCGGTGCCTGTTTGAATTAAATTTGCAGGGGAATACCTGCAGGATCCCCCCATAGACAAAGTGAGCCTCTGTTTCCTTTCAAGTTGGCAGTGTGTCCTTGCTCAAATGAAGTACCCTGAGACGGATTGTTCTCTTGCCCTTGGAAATGCTCCTTCACAAACGCAGCCGCGAATCCCTGGAAGTCACACAGGCTAGTTAAAGGCACATTCTAAATGCCAAGTGTACTTGATCGTTAGAAGGATTTTTTTTTTTTCTTGAAAGGTAGAGTTGAAGACGATTCTCGACCTTATAGTTCCAACTCTTGGAAACCATTTCTTAAAAGTTAACTTCAACAAATACTCTGTCAAAAACTCATAACTCAGGGTGACCCGCTGTCCACGTTTGCTTGGGACTGAGGGATTTCCTGGGATATGGGTCTTTTCATAGTAAATCCCAGAAAGTCTTGGGTCAGCTGGGATGGTGAGTCACCCTATTCCATGGATTAAATTGTGCTCCTAAAACAGAGTCAAAGCTTCTATGGCGGTTACTGGGCCACCATTAAAAGTATTCCACTGTAGCTTTAGCCCTTTTCATTACTGGATGAAAAGCCAATGAACACAACCCTTTTGTCACTGATCTTCACAGTGAGAACCAATCAACGGAATCTGAGTGGAACATGAAGGTTGAATGGGACAAACCACATTGGTGTCTTGGCCATTCTGCCTTCAGCCTTCTGCCTCCTGAAGAAATGGGGCCTAGATACAGGAATCTCACCGGCCGCTGAGCCAGGTTCGGCCTACTCATGAAATCAGGTTAAGTAGCTATTTTTATAAAAGACTCTCAAAGGTATTTTCTTGGAATGCATAGAGTTTGTTTTTTGTTTGTTTTTTTAATTGATGTTACAGTTGATCACATTCTGAGGAACTGTTAGGGTTTGTACATGTGTTTATATTGATTTAATTTTCCTGGAAAATAATGCTGTCTGCTGGAATGAGATTACAAACTCAAACAGGGATTACCCTAAATGGCTATACATATATCAACATACTTTTTCTCAGGGGTAAGTAGGTTTAGTACCCATACTTTTCCAGAAATGAAAAGTTCTATCTACAGAAAGGAAAAACGAAGGGAATAAACTTAAAATTCTGTGATAATTGGGACTTGTAGAATGTAACACGTGGACCATGCACTCCACAGCCGTCACATTTCTGTTTGCATGAGACTCTTCAAACCGAATTGGTCTCACCTGTTTCCTTATTGAGTTCATCCTTCTTGCCGGGCTTCTTTCTTATCTATCCATTCCTATCATCCGTCTTGGAAACGCACATAAAATTTCACTGCCTTTGTTGTTCAAACAAAATACCGTTCTTGCTACCTTTTAATTAAACTCCACATAAAGGAATAAGAAAGATGTGTAGATAATGTAATTATTTCAGGAGGTACCTACACATTAGACTCTAGAGCTGTGAATCTCATTTGGCAGCATCTGAACACATTTTCGATTGTCACATCTGGGTGGGGGCGGGGTTTGCTATGGGTGTTTAGCAGTAGAGGTCAGGGAGGCTGCTAACAT